CCCTGCCCTCCAGTTTCCCCTCCTCTGCCTCTTCTTAGATCCGGTGTCGCCTCCTCACAGAAGCGTTCGTAGGCCCCGTCCCTAGGAGCTCTCTCCACACCTGGAGCCCCAATGCACACAAAACTTTTGTTTCACTCAACTAATCTGATTTCTTACCAGGCCGAAAGTATCATGTAATTTGTAGTTAGCTATGATCTCTGACAGCTGTAGATGATCAGAGGTTTTTGTGAAATAAGAAACCTAACCTCAAGTTACCATAAAATGTAAAAGGTGTATAATCCTAACACCATTTAATAAGATGTTAATTTTGAAGATAATTAAACATTCATTACTTCGGGATATATAATTATCTTTTATATATTACATATTACCTATAGTATATTTTAAATATTGTAGTATTTTTAAAATAAAAATATTTAATATTATGTATTAAATCTATTTAATATTATTTTATGTATTAAATTATTTAAATAAATAATAAATATATTTATATATTTCCCAAAGATTTCTGAAAGCTTGTAAGCCTTAGCACTGGGGCAGCATACACAATGTATAAAATGAGCCTGTCTTTCCTTACACGTGGAATTTGTAGAGAGAATTCACAGACTTGACAAGCTATTGTGAAGAGAAAAAGTTGTGAACATCTTGAAAAAATGAAAGTGTTAGTCGCTCAGTCATGTCTGACTCTGTGACTCCATGGACTGCAGCCCGCTAGGCTCCTCTGTCTATGGAATTCTCCAGGTAAGAATACTGGAGTGGGTTGCCATTTCCTTCTCCAAGGAGCCTCCTGACCCAGGGATCAAACCTGGGTCTCCCGCATTGCAGGCAGATTCTTCACCATCTGAGCCACCAGGGAAGCCCAAACATCTTGAGCTATTATTTAATTTTAAGGAAAAGGCAATAACAGTAAGCACATCTAGTCAGAAGATACTGGAGCTAAATAATTATATAGTGACGGGCTGTTTATAAAGCCTACAACCCTGAAGAGACCAGGGTATCCTAGGACCCAAAGGTTTTTGCAGTGAAAGTCACTGAGGACCCTGGAGCACCACCTGCTGTTAGAGAGGACAGGGTGTACTCTGGCAGGATGGTATTGGAGGTTCCTGTTAGAGGGGACCCCGCTACTCCAAGCACATCTCAGTGAGGGAGAAAAGTACACAGAATGTAAAAGACATAGCCAATAGTGGTTACAATAAATTCTCATTTTATCATTCTTTTAAAAATTATACTATATATGTTATGCACTCTTCACCTCTCCTTGAATCAGAAGCACAGAGCCATATAGAGAGCAAAAACCAAGATCCTGGTGGACTTCTACAGTTTTAGAAGTAGGGAGAGCCACTCAAAGTATGGCTTCTGTGAAGGTAATGAAGAATAGATGTTCTCTGTGAAAATCAAGGGCCTAGGAGGCAACTTAATCAAGCAGCTGGCTGACATGGTGGCAGGGTTTTTACTATCACTGTGAGGCAGGAGCCTAGAGCTCCAATATTTCGGTTGTCTCTGGATTGGGAGCCACAGAAACCAAATAGAAGAAAAGTAAACCACGAGACGGAAGAGGAGTGGGATGACAGGAAAAACAGGACGGCAAAAGAAGAAGGGAATTTTCCCACTAAAAGTAAACCTGCAAACCAAATTTCTGAAACACATAAGGAAAATATTTTTAAGAAAGACTGGCACCAAAATCAGTAATCAAGAAGTGAAATCAGCTCAGGCAAACAAAAGCATTAAAATCATCTACAGGAAAAGAGAAAAAAGGGGAGACCTCTCTGGTGGTCCAGTGGATAAGAATCTGCCTTCCAATACAGGACACACAGGTTTGATCCCTAGTCAGGGAACTAAGGAGAAGGCAATGGCAACCTACTCCAGTGTTCTTGCCTGGAGAATCCCAGGGACGGGAGCCTGGTGGGCTGCCGTCTGTGGGGTCGCACAGAGTTGGGCATGACTGATGGGACTTAGCAGCAGCAGCAGGGAACTAAGATCCCACTTGCTGTGGGGCAACTAAGCCCGCTGACTGCAACTACTGAGCCCACGTGCTGCAAGGAAGATCCTGCATGCTGCAACTAAGATCTGACACAGCCAGGTAAAAATACTTAAAAGAATAGAAGCCATTCACTGGTTAGACATGGATTAATAGAAAACAAAAGCTTTTTTCAAAGAATTCTCAGAGAAATGAATTATAATATTCACAAACAAGGAATTATGAAATAAGTGAAACAAGAACATAAGATGAAAAAGAACTTATCAGAAATCATAAAAATAAAAAATTATGAGAGCTTCAGAAAGAGTATCTCTTCCTGAGCTGGAGGTACACATTTGCTGAGCTGTCTCTATCCAAGATCAGTTTGTGTTTTTCCTCTAGTGTTTATTTTTGCAGGCTAATTGCCTCCAGATGCTATTCTTCCTATCTCAAGGTTTCCAGGCCTCAAACTAGCTCTAAGAACTGGATATAGTACTCAAAAATCTACCAGTAAAGTGAGACCATCAGTTCCCATTCTCTGGACAGTTACCATTCTTACCAATTGTCTCACAGCATTTCCTCATTATGAATTTGTTGTCAGCAATCAAATCTTTATATAAACCAGGTAGTCAAACCCAGCTTCTCTTATATAATCAGGTACCTGCAAGATTGATTTAATATGTATCTTTATTCACCTTTACTTTATTGGTTTTGACTTTGTAGTTCTGGGTATTATTTTTCATCTGAATTATGGCAAAATAAACCTTTTGACTCTCATGTTATCTGCAAACATGGTACAGGCAAACTTTCTAATTCAAAAATACTGAAAAAGGCTCGACCTTAGATAGGATCCACTAGTACACCAATGGAAACTTCTCTCCAGGGGATCAGAGGTCCACTCGCCAGTACTCTTTTTATATGGTTGTTCAAACAAATGGGAGCTCATCATTGCTATTCTGTGACCCACTACTGTGTGGTATCCTGAAGATAATACTTCTGTTTCCTCCTCTTTTTTCCCCTCTTCTGAATGTTTCTCATTGACCTCAGGTTCTTGACCTCAGGTTCACTAAAAGCTTTTTGTAAGCCCTATTTTACTCATGCAACACATATTTATGGATATCTACTCTTTGCCAAAGTTGATATTGAGATTACAATGGTGATGAGAAGAGACACAGTTTCAGCCCTCCTGAAACTCACAGGCTGGAGGGTAAGGCAGTCATCAGTCACATAAACACAAAAATAAAGACAAAATCCCAACTATATTAAATGCCGTGTAGGAGAAATGCAGTGTGTTGAGAGTTTATAATGGTGAAATTTCATCTAGTCTGGGAGATTAGGCTTTCCCGATTAAGTGAAATTAGATCTAAAACGTTAAATAGAAATTAACTTGGTTAAATAAGGGCAGAAAGAAAGAGGAAGTATTCCATGCACAGGAATCAGTAAGTGCAAAGGCCCTGTGGTGGGAGAGAGGAGGTTTCAAGAAAGGAAGTAAAAGATAACCATGGAAACTGGCATGGAAAACTAAGGAAAGTGAGGTGAGGGATGAGGCTGCAGAATGACCACTCCGGATCTTATCTCTCTCCACCCCCCCCCCCCCATCACTTCCTTCGAAAAAGGAATTCTCTTCTAGAGCAGCTTCTCATCCTGCTCTAGCATATACTCTAATATGTAGTATTATGAGATATTATTTATTTTCTTGGCTTAACATTTCAGGTTTACTTCATCATTCATATTCTGTGCTTTGGTCGTAAGTATTACTGTTAATCAGTTTCTTGTTCCACCTTCCAATCCCAAGAATTACTGAGTTACTTCCTCCTTCACACTGCTACTTTCGTTTTCACATTTGTTCCTCATACTATCTGGTTTAAAAATTTTGTTTCAGTGGCTTTTTCTTTTACCCCTTAAGTTTCCTATAAGGATACACTTTGTTTTTTTTTAAGTGTTTTTTAAAAAATTTATTAAAAAAAATTCATTTATCTATGGCCGTGCTGGGTCTTCACTGCTGTACGTGGGCCCTCTTCAGTTGTGGCAAGCGGGGGCTACTCTCCAGGTACAGTGTGCAGGCTTCTCCCTGCAGGGGTTTCTCTTGTTGCAGGGCATGGGCTCTAAGTGCTAGCTTCTCATCCTGCTCTAGCATATACTCTAATATGTAGTATTATGAGATACTATTTATTTTCTTGGCTTAACATTTCAGGTTTACTTCATCATTCATATTCTGTGCTTTGGTCATAAGTATTACTGTTAATCAGTTTCTTGTTCCACCTTCCAACCCCAAGAATTACTGAGTTACTTCCTCCTTCACACTGCTACTTTCATTTTCACATTTGTTCCTCATACTATCTGGTTTAAAAATTTTGTTTCAGTGGCTTTTTCTTTTACCCCTTAAGTTTCCTATAAGGATACACTTTGGTTTTTTTTAAGTGCTTTTTAAAAAATTTATTAAAAAAAATTTATTTATCTATGGCCATGCTGGGTCTTCACTGCTGTACGTGGGCCCTCTTCAGTTGTGGCAAGCGGGGGCTACTCTCCAGGTACAGTGTGCAGGCTTCTCCCTGCAGGGGTTTCTCTTGTTGCAGGGCATGGGCTCTAAGTGCGTGGGCTTCAGTAGTTGTGTCGCACAGACTTAGTTGTCCCTCGGTATGTAGGAATCTTCCCGGACCAGGGATCGAACCCGAGTCCCCTGAATTGGCAGGCAGATTCTTTACCACTGAGCCACCAGGGTAGCCCTGAGCATATATCCACTTTGGATGGTAGTTTGGGAGTATCTATTAGCTATTAATCATGCTTATAATTCATGACCCAGCAACACCATTTTTAGGTTATATATTCTAGAGCAGTGACTTCCCAAGTATGGCCCTAGCATTATTAGCATTGCCTGAGAACTTGTTAGAAATGCAAATGCTCAAGTCCCACTCAGATCTACTAAATCAGAGTGGTGAGTGGTACTCAGCAAATCAGTGAGTTTAAAATCCCACCAGCTGATACTGATACAAGCTAAAGTTTGAAAAAAATCTAAAGAAATATCTGCACACATTGTATCAGATAAATTTCACTGTTAGAACAAGTATTTATTTAGCTCACAGGTCTCCAGGTTGGCAACGTGGGAGGGACTCAGCTAGGCAGGTTCTGATTTCCTCTGGCTCAGTCCGGTGCTGAGATGGCTTGGGGTTGGCTGGTGTAGGATGCTCTAGGATGACACAGCTCAACTCTGTTCCGTTTAGTCTCTCTTTCACCAAACAGGCTGGTCTGGGTTTGTGCATTCACCTGGTGCTTGGACAAAGCTCCACGAGATAGAAAGCAGAAGCATTCAAGACCTCTTGAGGTCTAGGCTTGAAATTGGCACATCGACATGCCTTCCACTGGCGAAATTAAGTCCAAGGTCATCCTAGATTCAAGTGGAGGAGAAAAGGACTTTATCTGTTGGGAAGAGCTGCAAAATCATATTGCAAAGTGTGTGGATACAAGGAGGGTAGAGATTGTGACTTTTTTTTTGCCATCTTCTACATGTGTGCATATAGAAACAACATAAGGATGTTTATTGCAGTATTTTTGATGATAAAACAATGAAAACAACTTAAGTATCCTTCAGTAAGGAGATGGGCAAATTGTGGCATATACATTCACTGAAAGGAATGAGCTAGGTCTCTTTCTAGGTCAACAAGAAAAAATAAAAAACTTTTTTTTTGAATGAAAAAAGGAAACTGAAGAGCAACTTGTAAGACTAATACCATTCATATATTTTTCAAACCTATACAATATTACATATTTCTGGTGGTTTTATATGTTTGTGGAAATATTAGCAAGGTATATACATCTAAAATACCAGTGACTATTCTTGGAGAGTGGAAAAGTAGGCAGTAATTCAAAGTGGTAGTCAGAGAAGATATTAGTTTAATCTGTTAGGTTCTCATGTAAAAAATACATTTATATGTATTCTGTGAAATTAAAAACTTAAAACAAATTTCACTAGATGCTCATTTCTGGATGAGTCTCTTCCTGACAATGTTCTTTCAGGTCGTTATGAAGATTCTGTCATTCACTCAGTCACATTTAGTGAAGACTGCTGTGTTCTTTGCACTGTACTAGTTGCTAAGAGTGCTCAATCCTTTACCAAGTTCCCATCATTTTAGCCTCTAAGTCCTACAGTTTCTGACCCATATCTTCAAAGTCTCTAGCAAGAAATTCCAGGCTGTTTTTTCTTACTGCATCATGGAATTCCCTGTTTATCAGAGAAAAGGGCAGTGGTTGCTGGAACTTAAACAGTTTGGATCCAGGAACATGCACACCTCCCAGTAGACCTTCTCATGATCCAACAGGTGGATGCAGGGCTCACATACTGTGTCAGCATTGTCATTCATGTTCATCCCATCCCTATACTGTCTCACAAAACCTGTTCTAAGAGAGCTTGCTTCAGAAACTTTTACTGAGCAGAGGACAGAAGTCCATGTGCCTGTGTACTTGTTACAAGTGATGGGATGACAGGTAAATCCTTACCCAGGGTAGGCCAGATCAGATTTTTTTGTACCAGAACTGTGTAACTGTGGTACAGAAATTCTTGTCAGTCTTTCTTGAGTAGTTGGGCTAGCAGATTCAGGAGGACCAGATAGCTACCTTTTCCCTCATGCACTGAGAAATAGAGAAAACTTGTCTGCAAAGAGGAGTTTCTTTGTTAGACAATTGAGAATAGGAGCTGCTTTAGTTTGATGGCTCAGCTTCCACTTTATCATGACTCTCAGTGTTTGGGGGGATGTCTACAGGAATTCCTTTAAATTTTCCAGTAATCTCCCCAATTCTTTCTTTCATTTTCCTTTTTCCCCAAAATTAGTCTGATGGGTTTCTGTTAACTTTTAATCAAAGAATCCTTTACTACAGAACCAGCCATCACAAAGCATGTCTCCTGCATGAGGTGGCAACCTATTCCTTCATGCCAGGACCTGCAAATCTATCTTTGGAATCAAGATACACACCATTCTTGTGAATGTCTGGAACAACACCCTGTATGGAGAAAGTCTTACACAAGGGAATTGCTTTGACAGTTTAGAATTTCATATTTGCTTCCTCTGCTTTGACATTTTTCTACTTCTAAATAATCTATAGGCCAAAGACAAACCTCAAGAAAAATTTAAAAAATACATTCAAGTGAATGAAAGTGAAATACAATATATCAAAATTTGTGGAACAGAGATAAAGTTGTGCTGAGGGGGAAATTTATAGAACTACTCCCTAAAAATTGGGAGCTGCTATACTTTAAGAAAGAGTCAATGTATCAAATCAATAATCTAAGCGCCTCCCTAGAAATAGAAGAGCAAAAGAAGCCCAAATCATCAGAAGAAAGGGAATAATAAAGAATATATATCAATGAGATTGAAAATAAAAGATGAGAGAGAGAAAATAAATGAAAAAAGGCCTGGCTCTTTGAAAACATCAACAAAGTTGACACAATTTACCCAAAGCATAATTTGAATAAAGATCCCCTGGAGAAGGGAATGGCTACCCACTCCAGTATTTTTGCCTGGGAAATCCCATGGAAGAGCAGCCTGATGGGCTATAGTCCATGGGGTTGCAAAGAGTCAGACATAACCGAATGACTAATGAACTACTGTTAGGATAATAGTTATAGTGTAGTATTTTATAATTTTATAAGGTAGTATTTAACTTATAATTTAAATACTCTCCCAAGCAAAATCTCCAAGCCCAGGTAGTTTCACTGGAGAGTTCCACTGAATGTTTAAATAAGAATTAGCCCCAATTCTATAGAATCCTTTTCAGAAAATAGAAGAGAAGGGAATTCATTTTATATAGTAGTACAACCTTGACCAACCTAGACAGCATATTAAAAAGCAGAGACCTTACTTTGCCAACAAAGGTCCATCTAGTCAAAGCTTTGATTTTTCCAGGAGTCGTGTGTGGATGTGAGAGTTGGACTATAAAGAAAGCTGAGCACCGAAGAATTGATGTTTTTGAACTGTGGTGTTGGAGAAGACTCTTGAGAGTCCCTTGGACTGCAAGGAGATCCAACCAGTTCATCCTAAAGGAGATCAGTCCTGGGTATTCATTGGAAGGACTGATGTTGAAGCTGAAACTCCAATACTTTGGCCACCTGATGTGAAGAGCCGATTCACTGGAAAAGACCCTGATGCTGGGAAAGATTGAAGGTGGGAGGAGAAAAGGATGACAGAGGATGAAATAGTTGGGTGGCATTATTGACTCAATGGACATGGGTTTGAGTAAGCTCCAGGAGTTGGTGATGGCAGAGCCTGGCGGGCTGCAGTTCATGGGGTCTCAAAGAGTCAGACACGACTGAGTGACTGAACTGAACAACCTTGACATCAAAACTAGACAAAAGTACTACAAAAAATTATAGCACAATATCCCTTAGGAAAGTGGATACAAAAACTTCTAACAAAACATATCAAATAAAATTCAGGAATATGTAAAAGGAAATATACTCCATGATGAAATGAGATTTATTCCAAGGATTCAAGGTATTTAAAAAAAACTAAACATGCAACTATCATATGACCTAGTATTTACAATTTTGAGCATTTAGCTCAGAGAAATAGGACTTATATTCAGACAAAAGCCTGTACATGAATATTTATATCACTTGTATTTGTAATAGTCCAAATGTCTTTCAAACAGGTGAATAGTTAAAAATACATATATGCAAATAGAAAAACCTTGGGTACATCCATACCATGGATTACTACTCAGCCAGAAAAGGAACAAACTATTGATACACACAACAATCTGGACGGATCTCCAGAGAATTTTGCAATGATAACAGCAATTCTCTAAGGCACAGGTCTGTATGATCCATTTATATAACATCTTTGAAATGACAATAGTAAAGAAATGGAGAACAGATTAGAGTTTGCCAAGGGGTAAGGAAGGGGTAGAAGTGAGAGGGAAGTAGATGTTGCTTTAAAAGGGCAACATGAGAGATCCTTGCAGTGAAGGAGCTTTCCTATTTTTTCACTGCATCCATTGTCAGTATCCTGGTTGTGATTAATGTAGTACAGTTTTACAAGACTGTTACCAAGAGGAAATTGAGAAAGAAGTACATAGGACCTTTCTGTCTTATTTTTTAGAATTGCATGTGAATCTACAGTTATCTCAAAATAAAAAAGCTTATTTAAAAGTAAAAGAAACAAAATACAAAAATTTTTCTAAAACAGTAAATGGTGTGTTAGGAACCAGAATGAATATTTTGAAACTCAATCATATCTATCCTCCAAGTGAAATGCTTTAAACCTCCATTTACCAACAGGAGAAAGTCCAGACTCTTGTGGTTAGGCATGTGGATAATTATTGAGAAAAGCTATTTTTTTTCCTTGGGGGGAAAAGTTCCACAAAAGAGTGAACCACATTTTTTCCCCAGCCAAGATGGTAGCCAGACCTCTGGGTCCTGAAGGTCTGGACTTTCCTTACACCACCAGGAGGTAGTTAACAACTATAACTGGTCCTTTGAGAGTTCTCAAACCAACAAAGTATAAACAGAGAAGGGTTTGTCTTTCCTAGCTATCTAATTTGCTCAGCCAAATCCCTTTCTTACTGGGTATAAGGGAACTTTATGACATCTCTTCTTGGTCCAAAACCTTCTAAGGCTTACCTAGCTATTAAAATAGTGTGTTTCCTAGGGAATATTCAGTTGCGTTAGGTACTTTTTCCTCTGCCAAGTCCATTTTAATGCCCTCTCTCCTGGAGTTGGACAGCGTGCCTCTTGCATGGAGGCCCTGGCAGGGTTTGAATGGCAGTTGCGCAGTTTGTTGTTTTTTAACCAAGCTGTCTGCTTGCTTTCTTTCATCTCCTGGTTCCCTTCCTTCTAGTCCTTCAGGCCCACACCCACTGTCAGGAGCAGATGTGGGGAAAGGGAGTAGACTGGAGAATGCTGGTTGGTACAGGTTCCCAGTTGCTGGGCCATGCAGCTGGCAGAGCCTTGGAGAACCGGCTCTAGAGGTTATGGCTGCCTGTGTACCTTGAGCAGGAACCACTGAAGACTGGCTTTGCAAAGCTCAGCAAGGCCAGGAGAAGCTAAGTGACTCATGGAAATAAAGTTAAATGGCATAATCAGAATTTTAATTAGGGTTAACCCCATAGTCTGCCCACTTCCTTGCCTGGTCTTCCTGGGAATCTGTGCAAAATAATACAGGCAAGGGAGTGTGCATTCATGTGAAAATTTGCAGAGGAAGGTCATAACCTCCTACAGCTTCCAACCCTATGTTCAGCACTCTGTGTACTGTCTTTTCAGCCTGTTTCTTTATCTCTATCTTCAAATGGAGACAAAATAGCCAGTGACATTACTGTAGGATTTCAAAGCTGGTAGGCATATTAGATGTTACCTAGTGTGGTTTTCTGTGGGATAGGGCATTTGGAAATGCATGA